TGCCAGCTAATAATCCATCATTATTTTTTAGTATTACCTAATGTTAACAAATAAAGATGGTACCAATACGTAACTATAAGCGATAGGATTCAGCGAGAGGTTACGTGTACCTTATTTTAGGGAAATGTTTCCAAGTATGAAATTTTTGGTTTGATTAACTTCCCTTGTTTTCATTGCTGTGAACATGTGGAAGACGAAAGAGTACCAGAAAAGAAAGCAAAGACAAGTCTTTTTGGATATGCTTCTGGAGCCACAAGCCAAGATGGTACAACAACTTTATTCGGCTAACGTTTCGGCTTGGTCGCCTTCGTCAGAGCCTGGAAAGTCAGAACAGCAGAAATCAGAAGAGATCTTCCTATCGGCTAACTCACACGCTACGTCGTAATCAGCGTTGCGGGAGGGCGAACGCAACGTAACTCGTCCAAATGCTAAGATTAGTCGCCAAAAGCTGACTTTGTAAGACCCTAGCGCCATTGTCGCGCACTTTTGAGCCGCGACAACGGCACATCTGTGATACTCGTGGGCTACTCTATCCCATCCACTGAATGGATTCCTCGACACGGCTTCTGCTGGGTTCAGCCCTAGTCGGGAACACAGGAAGTATCGCTGAAGCAGAAACTCACCATGGAGAGCCGATAAGAGGAGTTGGATAGTTGCGATGTCCGCCTTTTCATCCACACGCCCATTTGCTAGCTGAGGAGGTCCGCGATTGGTTGCTTGGTCCTTGCGCGATTGCATGCAAACTGTGGCCATGTTGGAAGGGTTGCAGGCGGTTTTTTGAATGGTTTTAATTGCTTACCATTAAATTGTTCGATTATCGTATTTGCTTGTCTATATTGGTGCATATGCCTTTGCTTGTATTGATGCATATGTGACTGCAGCCGCATTTGTTGTTAGCACGGAGCCAGTAAAAAATGCCGGCGGAATGACCTAGTTCTGACAGCTCCTCCGGCCAGAGCCCCTCCTTATTTCACGAGGAAAAAAAGGGAATTCTTGCTCAAGGGTTCCATCAACGGGTTTAGTCTCTTTTTGCTTTTTGGTCAACTCGTCATCTATAGCTTTATTAACGACCGCTTTTACACCACCGATCTCATCTGGAGTTGTTTTTGAGCTCGGCTCCCGTTCTTCTCCAAACACTTAGATCCTCATAGACAATGTACGAACATCTCCAGCTCCTTTATTTCGTTTTCAATAGCTTTTATTCTGCAGTGGCGCGCAAGGTCGACATCCCTCTTATATTCTTCGGTGACTCCGCGACTGGTGCCGGTGGTGTGGACCCATGTGAGGTAAGAACAACGAGCTATTCGGAAATGATGGAATAAAATGTTGGAGCTACTATTGCGTCCAATTTCCAGGTTTACTGTACTGTTCCTGGCAGAACCAGCTTGTTAAGCAGTACAACGAAATATCGCGTGACAGTGGGCGAAATTCAACGAAGAATCAGTCCACCTGAATGTCTTAATGCATCACTTCTTGGAGGTATTCTTCGCAGGTGCGTCTATCATAGAGACAATTCGGCTGATTTCCAGAATTCTCTGTCTTTGAGGGCCAAGTCAAAAGACGGTGGAAAAACGTTGCGGGATTCCCTGAGAAAGATTGGACTAGCTCTACCAGCTGGAAGACGTAAGCAAGCAAACGTGACCGCATGGACAGCTCTCGTCGAAGGTGTGTGTGCTTTTTCAGTTTTTTTTTTCAGTGGATGGTATTCGTAATAAATTGTATTTTCGGAAGGCGAAATATAAGAAAGTTCGAGAAATTCATCTCAGAACCTCATAATTCTGAAAAAGTAAGAAGCTGCCGGACGTTGACACTGTGGTGGCTTACTGTGAGGGATAAACGACAAGTGCTGGGAACATCACAGTTTTTAGGGTGCATACGAACAGTCAAAATGATTGAAATCTTCTCAAAGTGATTATTCCTATGATGCTCACCGGAGCGCGGTTGATGATCCGTCTAGCCAGGGTTTTTCTTATTTTTCTTCTTGGGCGGAACTGTTGTGTTAGCGAGTGGCCCGCAGCCAAATTGGTAATACACACATTTCGAATCGATGGCAAGGGTTGAGCCGATGCAAGTATCTAGCGAATCGTAATGAATACTATAGATGTTGAATATATGGATGGCTGGTCAGATGGTCCAAGCGACTGGCTGACGTGACAGATGAGAAGCGAGTGCTCGGTAATAACTTCAACCCCTGAAACAGTGCTTCAGTAACTCCTGTTCGGTGAAAAGCGGGAGCACTGCACGTCACTAGTCAATCAATTGTAAATTATCGGCTCAGCCCTTAATTAACGTCACGGGCGATGCCCGTACGTAAAGTAACTCTTTGGATAATAACTGATAGCTCTCTGCCTAAGGTGATTAGCCTTTTCCACCTGAGATCTATTATTCGCTGTAGAGATTCGATTTCATTAGTCGAAGAAGTGAAGTGATTTTGAGCCCTGATGAACTTATCAGAATCAAACAAATTATGTGTGTATGCTCAAATTTGGTCTGCTGCTATACATAGATATTCTTCCCTTTCCGCTTGTGTTTGATTTGTGATTCCTTTTTTCTTCACTATTTATTTTTCTCCCACTCGCTTTTCGCCGAAATATTTCTCTTTTTTTGTTTCTTTCCGGCGTGTTTCTATCTGTGTTATAAAGTACAGCAAGTGGAAAATGAGCGCGATAAAGAAATTGTGAGCAATCAGGAATCGCACAACATGCAACTCATCAACAGCACCCTAAGTACATATCGTCCAAGTTCTTCTGCATCGAATGGACCTGACGAAGTCTCGTAAATGAGGAAACTGAGAGGCTGCTAAATTCTGCTAGACGCCGCACGAGCTTCGCTCTCAAGCAAGGGAGGTGATCCACACGTGACGCCGCACCCTATGCGAGCTGTCCTCCACCTCCCACATTAACGGCGCTCAGTATAGTTGGCGAGTTTGCTCGACACATTTTCTCCTCGTTGAGAGAACGCAGAGAAAACGAGAACTGGGAGGCGAGCACACATGGAAAATCGATGACACGTGACATTGCGCGCCCAGTGCCAACGCCTCTACGTCGGGAGGTTACGGTATACCGCCTATGTTCCTGAACTTATATCTTTTATCATGCTTGAAGGTGCCCCTACATTCAGAAACGGATTCCTAGCCAATTCAACCATCGGCGACAAATTCTAAGTATCAATCCGAAAATTACACATCAAGTAGAAGTAATAAGTAGTAATGATCTGCGGAACAAGAAGGAAAATCTGACAGAAGCAATAGTTGTTGGTTGAACATAGAGAAGAATGTGTTCATTACACATTTCCGTACAGTGCACATAGATAAATGAGTAAAAAAAATGTATTTTTGTTTGAAGAGTTAGTCTCACCCAATTTGATCTAGTATGTACTCTTAAAAAGAGAAATTTAAGAAGAAGCGGTGCACATGGCCAAGGACTTCGCGTTGGTTTGCGAAAAGGAGTTCCATGCTCGTGAGATTGGTATTTTCTTGACTAAAACTGGTCTGTCGATTGATCACGATGTGATGCAAAGGCGAACAATGCTTGAGAACAGCAAGTAAGATGTGTTTCGGAATATTTCACAGCACATCCAAAATTCAACATTTAGGAAGATTGTCTCCGAGTTGTGCGACCTTCTCGCCGCTGACAGGACTCCACTGACACCGTTTGTGTCTCCGACAAGACCATTAGTCGTGTTGGATCCTTCCATCCAGCAACATCTTAGTCATTACACTTTGGTAAGGAAGTTTTATAAACACTCTTTCCCAATCGTGATCCTGTATCCTGATCCTGCCTTCCTCTTATGCTATTGTGCGAAATGTCTCATGTAGGCCTAAATACGTTAAAAATAGGATCTAGCAGGCTTCGGTGGTGAATTGTGCATTTGAGGAAGACTATTCGCCCTAAAGTTGGAGCACTGAAGCAACACTCCCAGTGGGATCCATACTTTTGCAACTAATGGTGTGAAAAAGATGCGTGAGCCCTAGTCAGGAACATAATAAGTGGTCGCCAAACAAAAAAACCCACCTTGGAAAGTTAGAAGGGACTTGGACATGGGCCAGCGCCATTGCTCCGCCTTCCCCATTTTTCGCCCACTTGCTAGCGAGAGTATGGTTGGGTGCTCGGTCTCTGCGCGATTGCATGTAAAAGGTTTCGCACTCCAAGAATGCTTTTGATTTTGCACGGATCGTTTATTTCTCGTTTCTCTATGAATTGATGCATGTGTCTCTGTTTGTATTGTATGCGATTGCAGCCGCACTTCTTGCTGGCACAAGCCAGCAATGAATGCCGGTGGAGCAAGCTATTTCAGACAGCTCAGCCATCCTCACCCGTTCTTATTCAAAAAAGAAGGAGAATCTTTGTTAAGAGCTTCATCAGCGGTTTTCTTTGCTTCTTTTTCCATTTGCAGTCGACTCACCATCCACAATTTCATTATCGACCGCTTTTACCCGCGAATTTGATCTAGAACTGTTGCTTAAGAAAATTCCACCTTGAAGCTTTCTACGGCACAAGCGTATCAAGCGAATGCGACAGTGTACATCTCAAAATTGACGGGTAAGCTGTGCAATTATAAATACGTATTTGCTTCAGATGACCCACGGATTCGGAGGTGTGGCCATGGTGGCGGTGCTCGAATCAGTGAAATCGATGATCGATGAAAGTATTAAGTACTTGGATCGGAACTGTTCACAACCGATGTACATTCCTTACAATGCCCGATGAATGTTCGATAGTTTCACGTCCGGGAGTTCGTCAGCAGATTAACTATGACGCAATAAAGATTTAGGCCTTTTCCTGTGAATTGTGCGTACAACGTGTGAACTAAAGATCGGAAGAGCTGGTGTAAAAAGTTCATTTTTTTAATAGGTCGAAAGATGGATCACTGAATGGCGTCACATCACAGTCTTCTCTCGAGAGTTCTAAACATAGCCCAAATGATTTGCAAGTCACTCCCGTTAGAACCCTATTGTTTTTCTGCGTGATGAGGATCGAATATTGCAAAAGTCGAAATAACGTTGAGGAAAGCGCTAGAAATGGGCAAAAGGCGCGAGGTCATGCCTTGGAAGCCATTGAATACGTAACAGGGCTGCACATAGAATTTTTTATGCAGTCTCAAGACTCCAGAATGCACTGCTGAATTCTAGGGTAGGGCGTTACGGGGATTGAAATTCATGTGGAAATATTAGAAAGCTGCGAAATCCCTTACCCATGGGCGACCGCTAACGGACGAGAGCTGTGTAAGTAAAATGAATATCCGACATAAACCTGACCAATAAACTGTGCTGACCGCATCAGCAAGATGGTTGATTAGGAGGTCGTGTGATCGTGCACAGTACAGATTACTAGGGTGTCATGTCGACCTCAAAAGGCTAAGGGTTTCGTATGGTGTTTTTTTCATACGGTTGAATTGCATTTTGCAAACAATGCAAGTTTTGCGCCCAGGCGCTCTGAGCAAATGTTGGCTAGCGGTACCATTGTCGGGCTCAAGAAAAAAAATAGAAATAACATTTTCTCCATAGATTGTTAGATAAAAAATTGTGCACAAAAATTATACCCACAGCTCTGTTGAGAATTGCTCATCATATAGTGTTCGACTATCATGACGTGGTGTGACTTTCAAAAGCTGAATAGCTCCTTCTTTTGGCACTAGACTTGCCCTTCAAGAATAGTTGTAGAGAAGAATTTATTTCGAGAAAAAATTAGGTTCGTGAGAGGATAGAACGGCAACCTTGACCATATTTCGATCGAAGGGACACTACCATGTGGTGCAAGGGGATTCGCGAACACACGGTATTTCTCTATAATCAGCGTGATCGGCCGAGGGACAGGCTTACACGTGAGTTGAACGTTATGTAGGCGGGTGATAGCCTAACTGGCAATTAAAGGCAAACCCAGGATTAGCCAGACTAGAAGGAGGGATACCATCAGGGAAATTTCAAAGTCCGTTTCTACCTAGATGGCTACAGCTTTGCCGCAAAAATTGCGCGGTTGGTGCGCCAATCCTTACAGGCTTGTAACCATCGACCTCCGTTCCAACGCTTCCCACCCACCGTGAGAGATGGTGAGATCGGCGTGCTCTCTTAACGACGTGCTCTCTCGCGTATTTTGCCTTCTTTGACCACCCTTGTCTCGCCATCGTACCACATCCGACCTATTGAAGGTTAAGGCCTTAATTTCAGCGTTCCCAAAGATTTCTCTTGCTTTCCTTTCCACTTTCAGGTCGTTCCGCAGCTAAGCTATCACTACGAAGCGCTCATAGCACCAGTTTAATCCCGGGCTTTGCCTTCAACTCAAACCCTATGTTCGTCAGAATAAGATCAACCACTAATGCACTCTTTGAATAATCACGGTGTCTTTTTTGAACATTCCCCTCTAGAAAGCAAGCAAAAATTGTATCTTTCATTTTTGCCGCATTTCTGAGTGATCGTTTTACCAGAGCAATTTTTTGAGCCGGAATTTTTCCTTCGCTACATGCTTTTAAATTATTCTATAGGTCAATCGAAAGCTTTTCCCCACAAACGTC